AGTATGTAAGTTTTCATATTATAAAGTCATGTCCAGTTTTTAAGAGGCTGTTCCACTTCTGTTTGCCCTAAGAACAGACAGACAGACGACAGACAGACAGACAGACACACACACACACACACACACACACACACCACACACACACACACAGAGTATTTGCAGGTATTGCCAAGATGAATACTTTGTGCACAGGGACAGCTAAGACCACATAGTCTCGTTGGGGTGTCGTGTTACTGTCAGGAGTGCCCAGAGCTATGTAACTAGAGGACTACGGAGGAGGAGAAGCCATGCATTAAACAGGCTTTGCAAATTAAAGAGAAAAGACCATGCCCAATGTTCACTTTCAAGTTTGATTTTTAATAGCTGTAAAAGCTGACCATTCTGGCACATTCTGGCATGGCTCTATGTACATAACCATCTAGGCACATGCTCTATATACACCTTATATACATAATGTCATTCACCGCAGAGGTATGGCTATTATTCTCATTTAACAAATAAATAAACAAGCTTAGAGAGGTTAAGATAATTTCCTAAAGCCACACTGATTGTGAGTGGCAAAGACATCAATGAAATCATCACCATCTACCTTTAGAGCAGTAAGCTCTTACCATCTGCTCTCTGTGAGAACTTCTTGTATCACATCTTTCCTATATACTCCATATGGGTGGGAAAACAGGCCTAGGCCTGGACAAGAAGCCCAAAGTTCTTAATTATCTTTGAATTTAGAAGCAATGTCATAAGTATCCACACAGTTACGCCTACCAATAGTCTTCACATACATAAGATCAGATCAGAAACTTACCTCTGACTGTGTTATCTGTTTGTTGCATAGATGTGTTATGAAATCAGTGTGGTATTGAGATGAACTGAAGTGTTGGTGTGTAAAAAGCTGTCTGTCAAATACAGTGGAGACAGATGGTGAGATTGTTGACTCCAGGTTTTGGATGTGAAACAGCTGGAGGCCAAAGCCTCGGAGAACCACACACAAGGCCTAGCAAAGGCAACACTGTGTGATAAAGAGATAAAGATGTTTACGCAAGCCAGCGAGTCAGTTATGCCTGGATCCAGCCCTGATGCTACAGAATTATGAGGATAGCTGACCATGTTCTCCGGAAAGTGCTGAGGCATAGTGCCAAGAGAGGAGGAGCTGGCTGACAGGGTGAGGCACTGGAGCCCTCCCTAACTTTCTCCGATTAGCATAGTTCAGCATAGATCAGTGCCACATCTGCAGTGTTGAACGGTGTGAGAGGCTGAGGGGCTGAGGTACAGAGTAGGGTAGAGAAATGGGACAATGACGTGCTTATAGGTTGCTTGTGGGTCAAGGAACATCTTGCAATGCCAGGAAATCAGGGCAGAAGACTTGTGGCAAAGGATACCCATGCAGACAGAAGAGTCTGGGAAGGCACCCAGACTCTTCTAATGGGGAAGTAAATAATACAGTCAAAAGCATTGTTTGATAGTGTCATGTTAGGCCTCAACATTTAAGGTCTATATGAACATGAAAATCTTGTTAAAATACAGATTCTAAGTACAACTGGGGGTGGATCCTGAGGTTTTTAATCATTTCTCAAAACGGGAGGTGAAAGTTGCTCTGCCTGTCTGTAGACCACCCTTTGAAAACTAGCATGAACAAAGTCTTAAATTGGGAAAAAATGTGAAGTATGAAGCTAGATGTGGTGGCACAGGTTTATTAACTCAGACCTTGTGAGGTTGAGGCTGGATGACTGTAGGTTCAAGGACAGCCTGAGCCACATGGTGAGTTTGAGGTACTGGTGTGTGTGTGTGTGTGTGTGTGTGTGTGTGTGTGTGTGTGTGTGTGTATGTATGTTTCTGACAATATTTATTGAATCTTCAGAGCTACAGAAAACACATGGTGACAAGTGGTTTAACAGGAAGGGTTGGTTAGGATAAACTCTCAAAGAGTCTTGAGAGGGTAAGGATTTAAGTGACATCCCAGATTAAGAATTGCCAATTTCTGTATTAGGTAGAGTGTCTGAGAACATCTGTACTTAAGTGATATTTATTTCTTATCATGCATAGGACAGATGGGTTAAAAGTTTGAGATTAGGTACCAAGTGAGTGTCTGCCTAGGCTACAGAGTGAGGTCAATGCTAGTCTAGGCAAGTGAATGAGTAGTAAGATGGCTCAGCGAATGAGGGCCCTTGCTGCCAAGCCTGAGCTCAGTCAACAGAGGCCACAGGTTGCCTTCTGAACCCCACATGCACGAAGACACATGCAAACAACCAGTAAATGAATGTGAAAATTGAGTATATACCTAAATATTTACTGTATATGATATTACTAATTACTAATGCAGTATATAAAGATACTGTATTACTAATTACTACATACTTTACATACTGTATTGCTAATTACAATATCATGGCTGTGCCATATTAAAGGAAGAGTCTAACTCTTGGAGTCTTATAAACCAACAGGAAACTGCCCTGCCCTACCCACTTCTCACTTGTCCTTGTGGACAGAAGGCCATCCTCACAATTGAACAGCCCATTAAAAGCTGTATGGGAAAGGAGTGCACAAGTTCTTGTCTTCAAGGATTTTTTACTGGGGGGCTTGAGAGATGGCTCAGCAGTTAGGAGCACTGACTGCTCTTCCAGAGGACCCGGGTTCAATTCCGAACACCATGTGGGAGCTCACAGCTGCCTGTAACACCAAGATCTGACACTCTCACACAGACATACATGCAGGCGAAACACCAATGCAATGAAATAAAAATAAATAAATTATTATTATACATTCTTTTAACCAGGGCTTTACAAGGGAGGCAGTTACTTTTTTGACCCCCTACTGACCCAGAATAGTACTCAAAATCATGAACAGATGTTATCAACCTTTATCCACATGTTGCTTCTAGCATTTATTATGGGCATTTTTTTTCTTTCCAAGACCTAACTCTCTCTCTTTCACTATTCTGGTTCAGAGTGTGGAAGGATCATGAAGGAGAAAGAGGGGGCATAGTTTAAGTTAAAGCTATGAATTCAAACAGGCTTCTAAAAGCTGATTGCATAGGAAGTCCAAAGTATAGTAATATTGGTTACATGGCTTTCTTAAAGGCAGATTAAATTTAAACAAGCTGAGTACACAGTAGAAAAATAGATTGAGTACACAGTTGTAAATGGTCTCAAAGCATATTATTAATGTAGTTGCAAGGATGAGCAAACTTTTAGTTTCTGAAGGCAATTTTGTAAGAGACAGAAAAGTCATCCCCACACTGTATTCTATATCAAAACCTTGGAAATAAATTACTGGAGACATTTCAGAAAACTAAACTCTAACAAAATACAATCAATATGAAAAGCACTCTGCAATGAATAAAGATGTTTTTATGGACTTGGGCATTATACACACAATGACAAATTTTCCAGAGAACTGGAATCAACTTCTTAGTGTTGAAAGAACTTTAAAAAATAAAAGTTGTCAGAGATGAAGGGCAAAACCTCTAGAAATTCAGAGTCTAGAAAGTATAAAGTGAAAGTAAAGTTGACCCTTTCTAATTGCCAATTTCTTGCATATATTTCCAGAAAATGTCTGCACAAGTAGTTATGTATATAAAATTATTTTTTCCTGTAAAAAGAGCATATGTATATATCTCTAGTTATCTGTGCTTCAGCATTTCCATTTTATGTAACATTTCATATATGATCATTTGAAAATAGCACATGAAGATATGAGCAAGTCTAAATTGCACAGGATGTTTACATGATTTTTAATAGTTGGCTTAATCAGTTCCCCATTGAAATATATATGGGTTTTTAGAAACAAACCTAAGTAGGAAGCTTTGATATGCTTTTGAATGATTTATTGTTATCTATAGTAGTGGATATAACAGGAAAATGAACACATTTTTCCATTTCAATAGTTATGGCCAAAAAAATTGCCCTTTCCTCAATTGCTACCTTCTCAGCATCTACCTGACTGTAAGTTCTTTATAATCTATGCAATACATTCTCTTATTGTTTGGTTAGAGTGCATGCTTTTTCCTCATAGAGGAGGTTGTTCGTCTCTTCTGTAATTATTGTCACTTATGCTTCCCCTTCATTTACCACACTCAACATGGAACATTAACAATGTATCTTTACAATGTAACATTAACATGATTTTATAGAGCACAGTAAATTGGGTATTTAACAAATTAAATTTTGAGATTAAATTCTCCTTTTCTCCCTTTAAAAAGATAATATGTTGTCGTATCTTATATCTAACACCAAGATGATGACATTTGATCTTTCTTGTTTGAAATTAAAGAACAGTTGCATTTTATCCATACTCCAATCTATTTTGCTTTCATGCAATTTTGGAAAATTCCTGAAGCAGAAAACACCTCCCCAACAGGGTAGAATTGTGTAGTTGACTTTACTCTCTCCCAATTCTGTTAAAACGTTACTTTCCCCCCACTTTGGTGAGAATAAGTTTGGAAATAAATTTGTGCCCATGACTATAATTCTGTGCATATGTGTTGAGGGCCCATACATCTCTTGGTGATATAATCAGTTTCTAAACAGTATCTATTTAGGAAGTCCTAGAAAAAAACAACAACAATAATGCTGGTATTGGGTTTGACAGTTGTGGCCCAGGGCATCAGTGGGACATGGAACAGAATTCTTGCTGAGGAATATGATCCTCACTTGATTCTAATTTTGTCTTTGTGCTACAGCTCTAAAATGTGCGGACAGCTGGTGTTGGATAAATCTGTCCTTACAAGCTGCATGAGGTTGACATAAAATTAAATATCTGAGGTTAAATCCAAATGCAAAGATAGGGAAACGGTTGAGTCGTCTGTTGCTATTTCACCTTCTGCATCTTGGTGGATACTATCCACCATGAAGTCCTAGAAAACAACCTGAGGCTTAGTACTAGCAGGGCATGGGCCTGATCTTGTTAAAGCTCAATACTTCAGAAAAGGAAGAATAGATTCTGGCTTTTCACCCCATCCTCCACCCTGCTGGTAAAACGATAGGTCGATAGGTCGTACATACCTGATTTGGTAGCAACCTTTCCTTTGTCTTTCTCCCTTGAATAGGAGATTGCTACCAACAGTGAGGCCCACACTTCCACCTGGGTTGGCATAACAAGACCCTGTGACCTCTGAGAGTTTGCAGATGGGGGAACCCCAACCCCCTTCTAGACTTTTCTCAGGTGACTAAATACCTTGCTGGTTGTTAAGGAATAAATCTGGGTAGTGAGGTCACAGAATAGTCAGGCTGCTGGCACTTCTTCAGATGACTGGATTACCAAAGTAGAAAAGCACTAAAAATAAATCAAAGCACAGGTTCTCCTGCCAAGGGTAGAGTGCTGAGATAGCTAGTCTGCTGGGAAGGAGGTTGACATCATCGGGTCTCCTAAGGCACTATGCAAACTGGAGCCTGGATGAGAGACAGATTTGGTTATCATCTAATTGTTAGTAAAATCCTTAGTTCTTGTCCTGATGATCTATTGTTACCCCTTGCCTGATTCACTTAGTTTTCCCTCTTTCTCTAGTTAAATTCGTCCAGCTGATCTTCATAGAACAGGCCTTTTTTAGTGTTTGATTTTAGTGTGTGTGTGTGTGTGTGTGTGTGTGTGTGTGTGTGTGTGTGTGTGTACATGCAAGTTTGTGCATCTGTGTGGTGGTCAGAGATCAACTCTCACTGTTGTTGCTCAGGAATCATCTACTCTGACTTTTGAGACAGGGTTTCTCATCACTAGGACCTAGGGCTTGTTTATTATACCAGGCTGAACCAGTGATCCCAAGGATTCACTTGAGTCTGCCTCCCCAGCTCTGGAATTACAAGTGCATGGCTTTTTTACATGGGTCTGGAATTGAACTCAGTTATTCATGCTAATGTGGCAAGCACTGTAACAACTAAACTATTCCCCAGCTCCTGATTTCATTTTATTTTATTTTTGAGACAGAGATCAGGCTGGCCACAAACTTAGAGACCCTACTGCCTCTGCTTCATGAGCTTGTTCAGCACCCCGGCTTGACAGATTTTATTTTTAGTTGACAAATAATTGCATATGACAGCAGGTGTGGTGGCACATACTTATAATCTTAGCACTTGGGAAATGGAGGCAGGATGATTGTGGGTTCAAGGCCATACTCAGCTATGTAGGTTGAAAAATATAGAGCCTCACTTTATGATCAGAACATTGGAGACTCAGTGTAGTGAACATGAGGTAGCTTATTTTACAACCTTGCACAACTGGATCTCAGCCTAGAAAGAAAGGCACCCTAACTGAGCACAGAGAACAATTTTCAGAGTCCGAATGCAATCCTCTTCCTTCCTCTTTGTCTCAGGAATCAGGAGGTGCCATATTACAGGTCATATAGGTCTTATTTTCCTCTCTGCCACGTAGGCTGCATATGTTTATTTGTTTTACATCCTGCTTATTTTAAAACTTCCCAGGTTCATGGCCTTGTCACATCTGCAGGTTGTCAGGCAAGTTCAGCTGTGGGTAATTTTCTCCTCTAAGTTCGAGTTTGTGTGGGTAGAACAGAGTTCAGGTTGGGGGAGCTAGCTTAGTTGGCTCCTAGTGCTTTCTCGTCATCTTTACCTGGACCCATGCCACTTCGGTTCATAGTCCTCTGCCTTGATTGCTGTGGGCCCAAGATGATGAGGCAGAATACCATGGCAGCAGACAGTGGTGGAGAAGAGCTGCTCACCATGGAGGGTCTGGGGACAAGATACACCCTCCAGAGACACTGCTCTACCTCCTACTAGTCCATTCAGTTATGAATTGATCAGTGGATTCGTCCACCATGAAGTTAGCACCACCAAGACCCCATCACTTTTCAGTTGCTAACAAGGGATTAGGTCTTCAACTGTATTCAAATGGCAATCCACTGCCAGATGTGCATTCGAAAGAAAACAGGTTGAATACATTTCACAAAGTTCCTGTCATCCCAAACAAGCTGGATTTTTCTGTGAGAAGCTGAAGCTTCTACTCCCTGTAGTTTCCAGGATTAGATAGCAAACTTTGAACAAGGACGTAACTGCATCCAGCATTCAGCAGCTGGAGAGTGTGATGGCAGACTAGATAAAAGGAAAAATCCTAGCTTCTCTTTCTGTAAACTAGGCATAGTAGAACAGGTGTAAACATTTCAACAACCCTCTGCCTCGGTTGGCATTTTTAAATGTCTTATATAGACCACTTTTGCTTCATAATGTCAAACTATTTTTCTTTCTAGTTTCAGTCGATTGTTTATGCCCCCTCCCCTAATAACAAATGCTAGCAAGGATACAGAAAAAAGAGAACCCTTGTATCCTGTTGATAGGAAGGAAGAAAGGATGGGTATTCCTCAAACACTAACAATAGAACTACCATATAATAATATATCTGAAAGAAATAAATTCATCAGGTAGAAGGAATATCTATATACCCATGTTTACTTCATCTCTAGTTACATTAGCTAAGATATTAAATCAGCCTGGGTACATGTGGAAATATGAATGGATAACACACACACACACACACACACACACACACACACACACACACACACACACACACACTTTATTCAGCCATAAAGAAGAATGAAATAAAGCCACTTGTGATGGCTGTTCTTAGTTGTCAACTTGACTATATCTGGAATGAACTACAGTATAGAAATGGAGGGCACACTTGTGATCTGGATCTTGAGGCAGGAAGACAAAATGCCTTTGATCCCGATCTTGAGGCTGAAAGACAGAGGCTTTTGCTCCTGATCTTGAGGTGAATGACACACCTTTAAGGCCACACCTTCTACTGGAGCCTATATAAGGACAGTGGAAGAAGAGGGGTTCATTCTTTGCCTCCTTGTTCTTGCCTTGTCAGCACATCCATCCCTTCACTGCATTGGAGCCTACTTCTTCAGGACTCCAGCACATACAGAAGACCAGCTGAGACGCCCAGCCTTGTGGGACTGAGCAGCCACTAGATTCTTGGACTTTGCATTCACAAATTCACAGCTAGCCATTGTTGGACTGCAGCCTGTAAGTCATTCCAATAAATTCCCATATATATATATATAAATATTTATAAATATAAATATCTATATACATAAAATAAAATAAATAAATCTTGACTCTTTTGCCTGTTTATGGAACTCTTTTCTTCCTACTGGGTCACCTTGTCCAGCCTTGATGTGATGATAAGTTCCTGGTCTTATTGTACCATATTATGCTGTATTTGGTTGATGTCCCTGGGAGGCCTGCTCTTTTCTGAGGGAGATGGAGGTGGTTGGACTCAGGGGAGAGACTTTGGGGGAGGGTAGGGAGAGGAAATATATGAGAGAATGTAATATATGAAATAATTAAAAAAAAAAAAACTTCAAGTAGAGCTGGGCCTGGTAGCATATACCTTTAATCCCATCACTCAGGGGGCAGAGGCAGGCAGGTCTCTGCAGGATCTACATCAGTGGTGTTGTGGGAATCCATTCCATTCAACCAATGGCTTTGGGGTATCTGATTCTATGGGTATGGTCTTGTCTGAGCATGTGATAGCTTGAGAGGAGGGAGAGGCCTGGTGGTGGTGGTGGTGGTGGTGGTGTACACCTTTTATCCCAGAACTCAGGAGGCAGAGGTAAGTGAATCTCTGTGAGTTCAAGGCCAGCCTGGTCTACAGAGTGAGGTCTAGGAAAGGCTCTAAAAGAGAGTTTCTCCATAGAGAAACCCTGTCTTCAAAAACCAACCCCCCCCAAAAAAACCCCAAAAAACCAAAACAAGCCAACCAACCAACAACCAACTAGCCAACCAACCAAACAAACAAAAAACTAAAACAAAAGAGGAGGGAGAGAAGGGTCGCCCTCTCTCTTGGGGTGAGGACACTTGGCCAGGCAGTGGAAAGCAGCTTGTAGTTGGTCCTCATTGGCCCTGAGGAGAACTGAAGCTGGGTCAGCAGCGGATCCACAGCACCTCTACCTTGCTTTGTATTAGTGAGTCTGTTTTCCATTGCATCCCTTAATATATCTTTGTGGCTGTCTTATCATGGTGGTTCCTAATCTTCCTAATGCTACAACCATTTAATACAGTTACATTGTGTTGACCCCAATCATAAAATTATTTCATTGCCATTTCATAACTGTAATTTTGCTACTGTTATGAATCATAATATCTGATCTGCAGGATATATGGTATGTGACCCCTGTGAAAGGGTTGTTTGACCCCAAAAAAGGTCGAGACACAGAGGTTGAGAATAGCTAGTCCACATCGTGGGTTCCAGGACAGCCAGAGCTACACAGAGAGGCCCTGCCTCAAAAAACAAAACAAAACAAAAATGTTCAAGTAGGAGAATAACAATTAGGGAAGAGAGAGAAGGGGGCAGGAAGCGGTGGGATGAGAGCAAGAAAAGGAGGGGAAGAGTGGATATGATCGTGTGTGGATGGAAATGCCACAGTGAAACCTTTTAATTAAGACAATTGTTATGCACTACTTATAACTTTAAAAAGAACGAAACTGGTTTTTTTTTTGGTCATGACAGAAGCTGGGAGGATTTGGTGTTACGCCATTTTCAATGGTAACACACAAAAAAGATAAACCTTCCTGGAATGATTTGAGAACACAGCAGCTCCCTCCCCAAAGGATGTCACGTCCTAGCCCAAGGACAGTGGTTTATGCAACTGGTGATCACGAGGTTGACAGCATACAGAGATCTGCTACCTGCCGGAATGTGTGACTCAGCATCTGGAAGCAGCTTCTCCACAGGCTGTCCACTCTCAAGGAGAGCTTCAGGTCACCCCTGCTGCCTTCAGGCTTTTTTGCTCCTTTTAAAACCCTAGTCCAGGCCTCCAACGGACACAGCTTCTCTTGTCACAGTCGCCTAAGTGGTGAGCTTACAAGCTTGAGCCACTACACCCTGCTTCCAGGAAACTTTAAAAAACAAACAAATGCGACCCCAAAGTCAGAGAATAGAAGCCTTTTGCCATGGTGTGAGTAATTGTGAAACTTGGAAGAACAGCGAGACATTCCCGAGTGCCTTGAATACTGGGCATTGATGTGAAAAACTTGTGGGCCATCCAACCGTGCTTTTCTCATGCCTTTGCCTTTCACTGCCTTTGAATGACCTAACCTTGAGGTGGTGGTGAGACTATTTCCTTATCAGTAGGAATGACAGATGGGTGTTGTCTTGAGTATAACTGAGCTCCAACTGTACACATAAGAAACTTGTTTGGTGTCTATTAAATCGATG